TATTAAATATAAAATTTACTTTAATAATTTTTATACAAATTAATAATAAAAAAATATAATAAATGCATCCTTAATATGTTAATATATAGAAGAACCAAAAATGGTACCAAGAATTAAAGTTAAGTGACAATTTTTGTACTTTTTAAAATATAAGGACAAATTTAGCTTAAAAATAATAGTTGATACCAAATCAATATTTAACCAAATAAAAAGCCTATGATTTAAGATTATTATTATTATCTTTAACCAAATAAAAGGGAGGAGGGGGTGGTTGCGTTGTGGGAGGCACTAAAAAGGAAAGAAGGGTTATGGAGACAGAAATCCAAGAGCTAATTGGGTTAGACTTGGTGATGCAAATATCAAGTTCTTTCAAAGACATGCAAGCCTAAAGAGATCGTGTAACATTCCAAAATTTTCTAAAATTTTAGAATTTAGGTTGGAGACTTATGTAATAGAAATTATTATTTTTGGGCCTAAGATCTAAAATTCACAAATCAAAGGGGGTTAAAAGTGAATATTGGTGATAAAAAGGAGCTAAGGCTGATTTTTCCTTCTTCCCCTTGCCCATTTCTGCATGTTTCGCCCAACCCTCACCAGAATTTTTCTCCACAAGCCCTAGCAACTCCTCATTGGAAAAACGAGGTGAAACTTAGCCTTTTCTTACTTCTCATAGCAAGGGTTAGAGATTTATGAGTTTATGGTTCTTAAAATGATGATTCAAAACCCATATCTTGCTGCTTATATCCTTCCAATTTGCTAGTTTATGTTGGGTTCTTGAGCAGTGTAGAAGGTCGCCATTTTTCTAGCACTTTTCGATAAAAAATCAGTCATATTGCTCATCTTTTGATCCTTAATTTGAATTGGGTTAACTCAAATCCTTTAGGGTTTTCAATTTTGGGATTTTTCTATAGTTTTCCTTAGTTTTGCCCTAGTACCACTAGATCTAATTCCTTTTGCTAGAAATTCTGATAGCATAACTTGTAGTAGTGTTTTACCCATAAGTGTTTTTGTAGATATTAGATTGAGTTCATTCTTGATTCCATATAAATTTAAGAGATAGCCCTACAATTTTTATGTTGAACGTTTACCTCAGTTAAGCTGTTTTTATGGTGAAAACTCTACTGCAAGTTTGATTCTCGTAGGCGGACAGAACTGGCAACCTGACGCTAAGTTAGTATTTTGGCCATAACTTTCTCTGTAGATATCAGATTAAGATGATTCTTATTCTATAGAACGCTAATACATAGGATTACAATTTATTTGTTGACTATTCAGCCCAGATTAGTCAATTTTTGGGCACAAATTCTGTTCAAACTTCCAGTTCAGAATCTAACCAGAATTTTCTAAGAAATTTGTTCTACTTTGTGCTCAATTTTCACATTATTTGCTGCCATATCGCATCATAGTTTGAGTAGACTTTTGCTGTTGTTTTCCTACTTTAAAACCCCTAGCTTTTACTTTATTTTGGTTGCCTTTTTGCTACTACATTTTTTGCTTGAATACTGCTCAGTTTTGGCTTATAATCTACCTTGTTTTATTGTTGTCTTTCTACCTAGAAATCTTTGTTGTTCAGGGCTTTTTTCAAGCATTTTGGGACTGCTTTAAATGGTAAAAACCCCCACTTTTTTGCCCAATATTTTTGCTAGTCTCTAAGATAGTTTTGAGCTCAGTTTCTCACACTTTTCCATCTTATTCTGCCCTTAAAAAATCTGTTTGGAATACATACTAGTTAGTGTGACATTTGGAGCTATATTAAGCGTATTCTAAGTATTCATTTGATGTGGTATGAGTTCTAAATCACCTCAACCGCCTTGAATTCTTTGCTTGTTGTATACTTATAAGGCAAGGCAAGTAAAACTATGGTAAATGCCCTTGGATTTTAAGGTAAAGGTTTTAAAAGCATAATTTTGAACTGTTTTGGAGTAGTGGCAGGACTAAACCCATTTTACACAAAAACAAGCATAATTAGTTTAAAATGAAGTTGTTATCATTTATTAATTTGAGCATGCTTACTTGGAATTTACTAAACTACTTTGATAACTTGAAATTGGTTTGTAAATTATGGATTTTCTTGTAACTCCTACATGATTTTGCTTCCAATAT